AGCTCCACATCAGTGCAGCTGGCCCTGGGAGATCTTTATCTCCCAAGTCGAGCTCCGAGATCACAGTACTCAGCCTGGGAGGCCCTTATCTCCCTGCACCAGATCAGTGGTCGTGGGGCTGGCACTAGGAGATCCTTATCTCCCAGTGTTGGTTCCATGACTGTGGAGCTGGCGCTGGGATATAAGGGTCTCGGAACCCCCCACTCCCTGATCATGATGGTAAAGCAGGGGCTAGGAGATAAGGATCTCTCAGCCTCTGCACCTCAATTGTGATCTCAGAATGGGGGTCTTGGAGCTCCCTGCTGCTGGGGCAGGGAGCCATAGTCTCTGCCCAGGCTCCTTTGGCAGATCCTGCCCCAGCAGCAGGCAGCTCCCAGGGGCAGGGAATAATTTCCTTCTCCTTGGTGGCCGGCTGACCAGGAGCAGATTTGCTCCCAGTCAGGTGTCTACACAAGCGCTACTGTGCTGTTATTAATCAAAAGTAAATTTGCTACTTGCATTTGTAGATAGCAAATTTACTCATAATTAGTGAGGTTTACTGTGCAGTAAAGATGTACACGTGTAGACGCACATGCTTACTTTGCAGTAAACTACGCTACTGCACAGTAAAGAGTCTCATGTAGACATGGCCACAGAGTATAAATAGCATAGCATATATATGCCAGGAGACTGAAATTTGCTTGACACAGATCATACCTTTTAAATTCCCAAGTTTCCAGGTGTGAAAGCTATACTGTAACATTGCATTAACTCATTTTGGGTTGTGGGAACTGGCAGGAAGGGCTGCTTTATAACATTAAATTTTGCTGAGGATCTATTTTTCTTCATACTACCTTATTTACTCAAATATAAGATGGCTCACCAATCATTAGATTCTATATATGGAAAATTTATAAATTTGTTATAAATTCCTAGGTACAGAATCTAATTATTGGAGGTCTGCCTTGAATTTGTCCCTCTTCTGGTGCGACAGCAAGGAAAATAAATGTGGGTGTGAGGTAGCCTCCTTGCTGTCTCCCCCTCCAGTTTATTCCCCCTGCAGCCCCTTTCCACCCTTCTTACTGCCAGACCCTGCTATCCCTGAGCACATGGAAGTAAGAGGCAGATTTGAGTACACTGACTTTGAAATAAACATACCTGTAGTAATTTGTATGTAAATGAATTAGGTCATCCAGAATTGATGCATTTTACCTTTTTTTTTGTTAAACTATTGCAAGTTTTAGCACAGGTATTCCATAAACACACTTTTAAGCAGCATTTTTGTACCTACAAACTATATACAAACTATGTATATATAGTACAAACTGCATGGTATTAATCCAAAGCCAAAAGGTTTATGAATTACCATATAACTCATTGGACTGGGCCTCAGCAAAGTCACCAGCATTTCAAGGCCCTGTTCAGTATGTGTGTGTACTCCAGATACCCCCCCACAAAGGATCCATGTACCAATTAGCCCCCCCACTCATGACTGGAACCAGGTGTTCTTGTCATGAGTCCTGGGATCCTCAAAAAATTGATATGCAGATGAGGCACAGGGTAGCCTGGTCCTGCTCTACCTTACATAGGTGGAGACCACACATATATCGCAGGTTGAGAGAGAGGGTGACAAAGGGGTTCTGGGTGAACTGTTTGGGGACCTGTTTGATGATGTTTGCTGGACATTTAAGGCTTGTGAAGAATTATTTCCACTTACTGGAAATGTGAAAGAAAGGCACAGCTCAGCTGTGAGTTAAGAGGAAGTTGTAATGTATTCAGTGTAGTGGCTCACCATGACTTTAAGAAGAGTTGGCACTGAGGGGGGCAGCACCCAATGAGCACTACCATATATCTTATTCAGATGGACTACACTAACCTATTCTTGTGCTAGGTTTCCATCAGTATGTTTGCCCAATATGGGCTGATTTTTATAGTCATACTCAGTGCTGGCGGCATTTAATCAAATTCATAATTGGTTTCCTTTACTGAGCACCTACTCCTTTTGGCAGCAATTTAGTTATAGACAGTGTCATTAAGGAGATTTTCTTGTATGCAAATATAAGTTGAGAGGGGCTTTCCCTCCCATCCTGATTGAGGGAAAAAACCTTGTCTTGTATTTGAGTAAATATGGTATGTGTGATATATGCTAGCAGTTTATTAATATGCTTACTAGAATGTTATTCTTTAGATCACAAAGAATATCTTTTTCTTAATCAATTTTTTGCATATCTGGTAGGAAAAGGAAATTCTGACAAGGGGTAGTTACTCTTTTTCTTTGAGTTAGAAAGGGAAGGGGACAGCATGGGGAGATTCTTGGGTCTCTCTTCCATTCTCATGGGAGGGTTCTCAAAAGTTGATTCTGCTACACTTAGAACCAGATGTTACAAATTAACATATGGGCTAGGTATAGACATTACACATAAATCGGTTTACATGATCAGAAACTTGTTTAAAACCTGTAATGGAACAGACATTTGGTGCACATAAACCAGCTTGAAAATGGCTGAAACTCGTTTGAGATAAACCTGGTTGATTGTAGTATCAGATTTGACTGATTTGGTTCAAAACAGTTTATGCAATGTCTGTTCCAGACCCCTTGCTGGTTTAAGATAATCCAGACACCCCCAGCATCCTGGCATGCTCTCTGGACTGGGCAGGGCTCTTTGCACCATAGCAGAACTGGCCCCTCCCCTCTGCTCCCTGGATAGAGCTCTGGCAGAGACTTGCAGGCACAGCAGGGTCTGCCTGGCTTCCCCCTGCCCTACTCTCCCCCACCCCACTGCTTGCTGGACAAGCAGGGTTCCCCCCCTTCCCTCTCTCTTATCTCCTACAGCACAGATCCCAGCCCCATGGACCCTAGGCTTGTGGTATGCTAGCTAATGCTGAGAGGTGTCTCTGTATGTGAGTGTCTCCAATTTCACTGGGACAAGCAGACAGAAAAGTGACCGATTAGGGCTGTTTGGAGCTAATCAACAGGTCAGCCAGTAAGCTGTCTAAGAAGAGTTTCAACTAATGGAGAGAGGCTATTGTTTGGCTGATGAGGTGATAAACATTAGGCCTGTGTGAAGTGGCAAGTATTTGCTTCGGATTTGGATTTGACCAATTTGGAGGGACAGTGATTTGATTTGGAGATTCGAATCACTGTCCTGATTCAATTTGGCCAAATCAGATCTGAAGATTCGACACTGTTTTGGAGATTTAGCCATTGACTAAACAGGCAACAGTCCTCACCACGCTGGACACAGGTGCATCCAGCTGGTAAGTCTCTTGTGGTGGGCGGAGGGGGAAGGGAAGGGGCATGGGGGAGGGAGCAATTGGAGGATGCAGGCGTGGCAGTGCTGGGAGCAGGGCCTATGCCCTGTTGCTGCTTACTCAGCCAGGGGGGGAGAGGGCACAACATGCAGGCTTGGCTCACTCTGGGTGGAAGGAGGAAAGAGGCATCATGCCCAGTCAGGGCTTGGGGGGGGGGCACTGAATGCGGGCACAGCAGTGCTGAGAGTGGGGGCTATGCCCTGATGTCACTTGCCCCCTTCTGCCCGGAGTGAGCCGCACCTGCATCACACCCCCCAACCCCCAGCTGGGTAAGCGGCATCAGGGCATAGTCCCCACTTCCAGCACTGCTGCACCCACATCCCATGTCCCCCCACCCTGGTTGGGCAGCTTGTCCCAGCCCCAATCCCTCCCTCCCCCACACCCCTTCCCTCCTCCCTTCACCCACCATAACAGACTTACGAGCCGGAGAAAGCTGTGTCCGGCCTGGTGAGGTCTGCTGCCTGTTTAGTCCATGGCAAAATCTGCAAAGCAGCGCCAAGTCTTTTCTGAATCAATTTGGAGGTTTCCAATTCAATTCAGACCTTTTAATTGGTCTTTCAATTCAATCCAGATTCGGAGATTCAACCACTGAATCGGGCTGAATCTCCTCTGAATCAAATTGGCTACCAAAGCTTTGCACAACCGTAATAAACACTGTTATCAGCTCCCTGCTGGCTTACTCGCCTGTCAGTTTGCTGCAGACAGTAAAAAGAAGCAGGGAGGGAGATTGAAAAGCTCCGTATCATCAACAGATGCATGCATTGCATACACCCCCTTGCCTCAGAGTTCTAGCCCGGGGCTGAGATCTGGCAGCATTCCCACCCTTTGAGCAGCAAGCTAGGGAAAAGCTTGGGATGGTGCAGGCAGACCACCCAAATCAGAGAGTCCTGCTGGGGCCTGGCCCCCTCAGTTCAGCACTATGGAAGGGAAGGGAGGGCTGATCTAGCGCCCACTGGCTTCTAGCCTGGGCCACTGCAGGCATGTGCCTGAATTTCCTCAGTTCAGAGAAAATGTCTGTCCAGTTACAAAACAGTTCACCCTAGCCAGGTTAGACTAACCTGCAAAGATTGAATCAATTCAGGCTCAGGCTTTTTGAATGTCTGTCCCTAGCCATGGTTACTATAGGTGGGAGCAAAGCTATTCTGTGAAAAGGCTATTTCCAAACTATTTACATAAGACGTTATAGCATGCTTTAAGGAAAAAGAGATTTAGCTAACTGCAACAAATTTTTTGAAAGCAAAGGGGCATATGTTAATATGTATACAAAATAACAGAAAGTTAGTCACATTTAAAATGACAGAAATGTGTTTATAATGTTTTAAAGTTATCCTTTATGTAAAGTTGATAAGACTTTTCTGAGTAGTAAAATACATTTCTTCCTCCCTTTCACCCAAATAAGAAGAATTTCATTTGAATGTAGCAAAGAAGATGTAGCAAAACCAAGGGATTTTGCTTCCAGAATATATTAATAACAAGATTACCAATATTGTAAAATTTTCATATTAACTGTTCATCTTTTTGTATCATCGGAAGTAAGATCAAACTGGAATAGTATTGGAAAAGCAAAGCAGAGATTAAAAAGCACAGGAATTTGTTGTCTAGATATCACACACAAGCTGTATTTTTAATAATCAGTGCACAAAACTAATATGTGCTGAAAAAGAAACAAAATGGGCTCTCCCTTCTGATTGTAGCATTATCTTCTACAGCATCTGCAGGAATTGCTGTGTCACAAAGGAAGGTGCGTCAGATCAGTGACCCTATTCAGCAGATTCTAATTCAGCTGCACAAAATTATCTTCATCACTCAGGTATGCACTGCTGCTGCTTCACAACACTCCATCTTTTCTAGTTGTTTGCTGTTGTCAATATGGTGGTAATGTGGAGTGAACAGAACTTGATATTTTTACAGATGATGTGATGTTTAAAAGTGTTTAATTTAAATAAAAAATAACCTTGAATATTAGTATATAGAAGATGGTAATAATGAAGCTATATTAAAAAATACACTGGCTTACCTGAGAAAATGGGTTATAGTTGTTCCTTTTTATAACATTTTGTCATATCAGCAATATTCATATTGCTGTTTCAAATAACTTAATATAAAATACTGACTCAAAGAATTCATAAAGTGCTTTTATTCTCTCAGTGTTCATATTACTTTCCTACGGTTTCTGACAGGGTAATGCAGTTCCTAGTGCATTAGTTAGCTTAAATGTATTGAAACATAAATACAGTTTCTGTTCAGATTTAATGCTTATTAGAGAAGTAAAGAGTAAGTTAAATAGTAAAAGTTGTCATTTTAAAGTGACACTAAAGTAAAACTAGAACTAGTCAGAACCTTGAGTGTGCTGTCGTTACTGCAATTGTAACAAATAGTTTTGCTCTCCAGGAAGATAGCTACCATACGTTAGATATGCTTAAAATTTCTAATTTTAAATAAAAGTCATATTACCTTCCAAAATTAACAGTTTATATTTGGCAAGAGGTGTTTATCACCATGGGAGCTAGCAGATTGCTGAGATAATTTGATGCAATTTCCTTTTAAAGCTGAACAGCCAAACTGAATTTATGTATATCTGACGTAATAGGACTTGTTAACTTATTTCACATCCTTGAAGTCATTAGATCTGTCAATGGAGGAAAATTCTTGTGGCCAAAGAAGTATCTCATTATTTTTTTATAAAATGAATTGATTTACTTTAATAACAGAGAGCTTGCCAGAGTGCTCTGCCCTATAGCTCAGGGTGCACCTCCTGAGGTGAAGAGTGTTTCAGTCTCTGTGCGTATGAAGATCCAGGCCTCTTGTTCTCAGATGGCCACATTAATTTGTGTCCATTGTGGTTACTGTAGGTCCCTGTTATACCTGATAACTGAGAGTAGTGAGCTGTACCCATCACACTCACTTCAGATAGCCCACAGATGAACTTTGATGCCTTTCCACGTGGGCTGAATGCAAAATAGGGCCCTAGAGAAGCAAGGCTCCATACTTATAACTAGTCTCTTTGAGACTCCCAATTTTTGTTTGTTTTCCTGCAAATAAGAAGTAGAGCAAACTTAAAACATGTTGCTAGTTCTTAAAATTCTCAATTGCAGACCTCAGCTGACAAACGGAAACTGAAGTTTACAAGAGAAAATATCTTACTGTTGGTTCTGGGCTGCCAGCAGCCTTTCCAATCTTGTTTCCATGGAAACAGGTCTCAGTCTGATCTGTGAAAAAAATAATGTAAGAGCAAGCTTTTTAAAAAGCATTATGTAAAACCCCAGCCTTATTTTCACTGATCTGACATCTGATTTCATGAAAATAGAAGCTAGAATCAAATCCCAGCAGCTGAGACAACTCGTTATTTTTAAATGCAGCTGACTCATCCTTTACCCCCTGTATTTCAGAAAGCCCCCAATATATCCAGGTAGCTGTGATTAGCTCATACAGCATCATTTGCTTGTACTTACTTATAGGGTTAGGAGAATTCAGTGACTGATTGCCTTACAACACAACAGGTGCAAGATATTTTCTAAGTGAAAAAAGAGCTACATGTGTCTCAACAGAAAGCTTGCATGCACCTGGTTCTACTGAAGCTCTTCATATTTGGGATCCGATTATGATCTCAGTGGGAGCATGTACATGAGATGTTTACTGTGGAGCTGACTAATTAGCTCCACAGTAAACATCTTAGTGTCTACATGTGTGGCCCTATTACGCCTCAATAAACTAATAAACTCCACCATAGGATAGTACTTGTATTTACAAGTACTATCCTATGGTGGAGTTATTTACTGCACAGCAACACACATGTAGACACTTACAGGGCTGGCTGGGGCACGAGGGTGCTTCAGTGTGTGGGCTGCCTGAAGCAGGCTAACCCCCTGGGACCCCTGCCAGCCAGTGCAACTCTAACCCAGCTCAGCAGGCTGTGGTCCTGGGTGCACGTTCAAACGTGGTGCTCAGGAGCAATAAACTGCAGCTGGAGTTTATTGCTGCATGTTAATCGCACATATAGATGCACCCAGGTTCATTAAGATAAATCAGGAATAACACCAGTAAAACCAGCAGAGGCTTTCTGGTTTACTGCAGTGTAACAACAATGTGAGGGGGGAAAGGGACTTCTTACTAGCTTGTGTGGCAGTGACTGAGATACTGGTCCACAATAGCCCAGGCTTTCTTGTATAGACAAAATGTTGTTTCTTTAAGATGGGCATTTCTTCATATTAATCTATGAAGTATTATAGGGCATCCATCTATGACATTTCAGTCTGATTCAGTTTTGAAACAAGGAACCTGATTCTTACCCTGTGCTTTTATATCAATGCATAGTGATTACAAAGTGTATGTAAAATGCTACCAAATCAGAGTTTTCCAAACACTGTCTACCGGTGCATATGATTATATAAGTAAAGGCAGTAGAAAATCAAACCCAAAGTGTAATATGTGTTATAGGAGGCTATAACACTGAAATTATGACAGATATGAATAAGAAGAACTGTCCTGACAGTAGGGCTTGCTAGCAATTGAGGCATAAAAATGATTTAAAAACTCAAACAGAAAAAGATTTCATCCTTTATAAGGAAGAGAATTCAGAAGTTCCTTCTTTTATACCTAATGGAATATATTTCTGCTCTTTTTCCCCTTTTACACCAAATAGAAACAGAAGGAATGCATTTGAAGCACAGGAACATCAAATATTTTTTTTGTATGTATGCAAAGTAAAAGTTTCCTAGGTGCTTTACAGACAAGTAAATTGGGTCATACAGCTTACAACAGAAAGGCTAGGTTATGGCACACTTGTTCATATGAAGCACATTTGGGCCTTCAGAAAGGTACCCATTGCAGGCTTGTTTTCATTTTGCATTGGATTAGGCCCTCCATCCTCGTATAATTTCACCGATTTCAATCAAGCAAATTCAGGATACCAAACAGAGCAAGTCCTCCTCTTCATCTGATTTTCCTAAGATTTTTGCAACTGTTTAATCCCAATGAGGCCATCTCTATCTATGCTTTGTCCAGGGGAAGCAGCTACCCCATCACAGTGAGCTGAAATCCATATTCCCACGCTAATAGGATTGGTCAACAGAAGAGTAGATATCAGTATGCAATCACTTTACATTCTGTACTTTTTTTCTTTCTATTAAACATAGTAGCCCTTCAACACCAATATAATCACCACTTTGAATAGTGCCACTATGGAAAATGAGATGTGTATAGGAATTAAAGCTGAGCTGTGGTAACAGCTGTTTCACTATCTCTTTCAGCTTCCTCCGGCTTTGCACTGCAATTTGAAAAGAAGAGTCATTGAAAGATTCAAGAAATCCCTCTTCAGCCAACAGAGCAATCCTTGCAACTTGAAATCAGAAATTAAAAAGGTGAAGTATTCTAAGATTGACTGCTCATCATGGGCTTCATCTTTTTCTGTATTTGCATTATGCCATTGATGGGGAGGAGAACCTATCTAAAGGTTAATAAGTTTTCAATTGTCTGTATTTTTCCTGTTCATCTTATATTTTATTAAAGAAAATAAGCATCAGATTCTGTAAACCTATATTAAAAATCTTGAGCATATTCATAGTTTTTAAAATGATTTATGTTTTATCATTATTCTTAAATGAGTCTACTTAAGCTGTTTTTATTTAGCACTAGGAACTTTGAGCACAAATTTCTAGTTCTTTGGAGAATATTTAGAAACATTCTGTAGCCTCCCTTTATTTAGAAAATTCAAAGGTTTATTAGATATACAGTTGATGCAGTTTGGTTTTAAGTTTTGCCTTTGATCATTGGTACATACATTGTAAATGGGAAAAGCCAGCCAGCTGTTAATCAACAAAACATAAAATTTACCTCATCAGAGATCAGAGAACTTCTGTTTCCTTTCATGGATCAGATCAGAATAGAGGTAGGCAGGGATTTAAAAACAAAACAGCATGAGATCAAAACAGCAATGGAGAAGTTTTCAAAAATGTCTTTAATAATATTTTATAATATAACATGATGATACTGATATAATTTATACAAATATGACATGGACTCTTTTTTCTTTCAGTTCTAGGCATAATTCTTACAGGAAAAATTATGCTTATTCATTTTTCTAATACAAATACTTGCCTAGGTCAATATTCTCAGAAATGTGGTTCTATTAATGTAAATATGCATATGATTTTATTCACATACTTACCAAGAACTGTTTCAAAGCACAGTATGGGATTGTCTGTGTTGTTGTTTTTTTTTATCATTTAACCTTTTCTTATTTGGTCCTAACATCAAATTGTTACTCTAGTTAATTAATGCAAAAAGTTAGCTTTTCTTTCTGTTTAAAAGGAAGTAGTGATATGTGAGCTCCAGTTAAATTATTTTTAGCCTGCTAACATTTTTGGTGTTTTGGAACAACTTCTTCCTATCCAAAGCATGAACCTATAAAAAGCACTGAAGCTGCCCAATGCTCTTCAAAACTAGATTGCCCTGACTCATTGTTGACTAATCTGTCAGTAATACGTCAGTGTCATCACTTTAAAACTACTGCAGGCTTGCAAGCACCTTAAGATCCAGAGTCCAGCACACAATTTTTCAAGTGTTATCTTGGACATGTTCCACTAAGGAATATGCTTTACCTGGCGAGCTTGCAGTTCCATACCCTGGAGTCTTCAGAACATTTTTCTTCAAAGTCTCATAAGAGGACTGGCCTCCTCAGAGCAACTCAAAAATAGCATTTGCACAGGTTCTTTGGGATGCTGCAAAGATGCAGCAGTTTGTCCTACAGGCAACTCAACTTTTCATCTAATGACACTGTAGTCATTAGCTCTACTAGTAACGTAAAACACATAAAAGGTCAATGTAAAAAAGGTATTGGCTTCCAGTATGGCTAATACAGCAATTTGTCACAATATATAGAGTTCAGATTTAAGTTATTGCTGCATTGTCTTCAAACAATGCACAAATACAGACTGGGTAATGACTGGCTAGGTTGCAGTATTGCAGAGAAGTACCTGGGGATGACACTAGACCATAAACTGAATATGAGCCAACAGTGTGTTTTAGTTGTAAAAGAAAGCCAACAGTGTGCTGGATTATATTAATGAGTGTCACTAGCAAATCAAGGGAAGTGACTCTTCTACTCTACTCAGCACTGGTAAGCCCTCCCCTGGAGTACTGTGTCCATTTTTGGTCCTCACACCTCAAGAAGTCTGTGCAAAGATTGGAAAGAGTCAAGCAGAGAGCAACAAAAATAATTAGAGGCTTGGGAAGCAAGACCTATGAGGAAAGGCTGAAAGAGTTAGGGTTATTTAGTGTGGAGAAGAGAAGAGTGAGGGGATTTGACAACAGTCTTCAAATACCTGAGAGGTGATTTTAGGGGATGGTGGTGGGTTTAAACTGCAACAGAAAAAAAATTAGTTTGCAGATTAGGAGGAATATTTTGACTATGAGGCTGTCAAGCATTGGAACAGACTAGCTATGGAAGTTATGGAATCTCCATCCCTGAAAATGTTAAAGAGCAGATTAGACAGACATTTGGCTGGGATGCTTTAGTTGGGGACAATTCTTCTTTGAGTAGGGGACTAGACTAGATGCCCTTGTGTCACAGACCAGCTGGGCACTATGAGTGTATCAATTCTATCGCAGGCCAACTGGGCACTGCAAAGGTATCAGCCCCTGGGCTGTTTGGTTCAGTTTCGGATTGAGGAGGCAAAGTTGGGAAGGGTGAAGCAAAAGCAAATTTATTATAGCTTACATACACAACAGGTAACAGAAAGATAAATGCGATAAGCAGATAATGCAATATTAAAGAGCTAATAGTAAATAATAACAACAGATAGATGGATCAATTTTGTCACAGGCCAACTGGGCACTGTGAGGGTATCAGCCACTGGGCTGTTTAAAACAACAGACAGCCATAGGTTGGCAACTTACCAATAGTCCCTCGATGCCAGGTGCACGCCAAGTGATTCCAGTGAAGTCAGGTGTCCCCGATTGACGCTGTCGGAGGGATTACCAGGGAAGGTCCCTTGATTAGGATCCGATCCTCACTCACACTGGGAGTCCGGAGTCCAGGCTTGGAACAGCAATGACCTTTCTGTTCCCTCCTTCCTGCTGGTCACCTGACGCATGCGCTTTTTATACTTAGTCTTATGCTAATCTGTTGGCTTTAGAGCCACTCACAATCTTGCCCTATAGCTGTTACCCTATGGGATTGAAAGGTTTTAAAAATTATCATAAAAGGTTACTACCCAGACTCAGGTTTATCCAATAAGCAAATTACAATGCAGCATCTTGAGGTTTGAAATTAACATTACTAAGCCCAACCGTTTTAGGTTTCTCTGAATATGCTTTCTTGGGACGTGCTTTCCTGGAATGTCTTGGGTGTGCCAGGCGGTTGGATCCAGTTTTTCAGTATTGTCAAGGCTGAACCCTGAGCAAAAAGCATTAGGTCAGCTAATATTGCAGCTACAGCTTCACCTTTGGGGCCCAGTCAGTTCCACGATTAATACAAACAGTTAGTTTTATCACTTTAGTTAAACTTATGACAGACAAGTTACATTTGTGGGTTACGAACTTACTAGCTTTATATTAGCTAATATTACCTGTTAGGCAAAAATACCAAATGCCTTCAAGAAGCACATATTTATTGCTTATTAATCCCTCTGGTTCTGGCCGTCACACCCTTGTGAGGTCTCTTCCACACCAATAACCTCCTAGGCTAGGGACAGACATTCAAAAAGCCTGAGCCTGAATTGATTCAATCTTTGCAGGTTAGTCTAACCTGGCTAAGCTAAATCACTTTGTAATTGCTCAGACATCCCCTCTGGACTGAAAAAATGCTGGCACATGTCTGCAGTGGCTCAGGCTAGAAGCCAGGGGGCGCTAAAGCAGCCCTCCCTTCCCTTCCACAGGGCTGTGCTGAGGGGGCATTGCCATGCCTCAGCAGGATGCTGTGATTATAAGGAGGAGTTCTGACCCTTGCTTGATAACAGAGCATTTATCAGCTTTGCTATCAGCATTTAACACCCCATCAGAAAACAAAGCCTCTTAGTTCAAGCTCTTCTTAAACAGCATTTTTCAAAGGAAGGAATGCAGGGACATTACCAGTTGAGCTGCTGATTAGCTCCAAAAAGCCCTAAGCAGACACTGTCCTATCTGCCTTACACAGCATTAGCTAGTGTACCACATACTGGCTACAGTCTATGCTATGGGAGAGAAGAGGAAGGGATCTCTGCTTAAGCAGCAAGTGGTGGTGGGGCGGGGGGCGCATGGAAAGCCAGGCAGACCCTGCTGTGGCTTGCAAGTCTCTGCCAGAGCTGCAGACCGGGGGGACGTTGCAAGTCTCTGCTAGAGCTGCAGCCAGGGAGCAGAGGGGAGGGGCCAGCCCTGCTGTGAAGCAGAGAGCCTCGCCCAGCCCAGACAGCATGCCGGGATGCTGGGGGACTCTGATTTAACTTAAACCAGCAAGGGATCTAGGACAGACATTGCATAAACTGGTTTGACCCAAATCAGTCAAGTCTGATACTACATTCAACCAGGTTTATCTCAAACCAGTTTTAGTCATTTTCAAACTGGTTTATGTGCACTGAATATCTGTTCTGTTACAGGTTTAAAGCAGTTTCTGATCACTTCCTATAATTTAGAGTAAATAGAAACTAAGTACAGTAAAAGCTGTGTTATCCGGCATCCATGGGGGATGGTGAGTGCCGGTTAATTAAATATGCTGGTTATCTGAGAGGTGTCTTTGCCTGTTCAGGCTGCCGCCCCTCCCACTGCATCCAGTGCACCAGGGCTTTCACTCCCTGGCATCAGTGTGCTGGGGGACAGGGAGAGGGGCCTCACGCAGGCTGCTTTGCCCTGGGCCATGGTTCAAAGTTGACGAAGTGGGACTTGACGAAACTAGAAGTGCCATGGTGGGACTTCCGGTTTCATTGATCAGCATGCTGGTTAATAGAGCTTTCTGGATGGTAAAGTGCCGGATAACACAGCTTTTACTGTAAAAGAAAATATAGACTGAGCATTGGAAGAAGTTTTCAGACAATGAGATTGGATTGTGCCATCATTTGGAAAAGGAAACTGTGGATGCTCTGTTTCTTGAAATATTTAAATTAGAGTGAGCAGATCATCAGGTTAGAAAAACAGTGCATCAGATAGATTCCTGCATTAGTGGGTGGAGTAAAGGACCCATAAATGCCACCTAAGTCTTTTCCAGTTTTTGCCACTTAAAAACTCTATTTTATTCTATTTATTATTTATATATAATTTTAATGTTGAATGAGAAATATTTTTCATTCTGGAGATACTGCAGAGTACACTACCATAAACTCCTTCCCTCCATCACTACAGAACTGATACTGTAATGCATGGCGGTGCACGTGTGTGTACATGCACCCCCTGAGATTGGCTGTGCACCTCCTGGAAGCTCCAGCTGTGAAACTGGAAGTGCCAGTGGAAGTTCACTTCTGGGTTTGCCGGTTTTGCTGCTGGTGGTTCCAGGCTCAGTGACCGGCCGCCAGAGGACCCCCCTCCCTCCCTTCTCCCGGTCAGTGATCGGCCTCTGAGGGATGCCCCTCCCATCAGCAATCTGGTGCCCCACTAGACTTGGTAGGCACCAGTTGCCCATGCTACAGTGCCATTTTATAGTGACTGATGCTTCCAAGACAAGGTGCTTAACAGTTAGGCTCTTACATCCATACCCAGGCAGGCAGCACTCAAATAACTAGATACATTTTTAGTTTTCAAATGCTGTGAGCACTCAGCTGTAATCAAAAGTGCTGAGTTCTCACTGATTGAAAATCAAGCCACATAAATATGGATTGGGGAGTCTTACTTTAGGCATCCAGTTTTGAAAACTCAGCCACTGACAATTCTTCTCCTGGTTCTGAGAGCTCGCTTTTCTCCTTCTTTTCTTCATAGAAATTTGCAGTTTATATTTCTTTCACGTGTAGCAGAGAACTGTGTGGTTTATACTGGGTACAGTTTGACTACCTGCAGTGCTTGATAAATGCCTCTGAAGGGAAAAAGGTGCAGTATTTATGACTGATTTGGCCAGTTCTTCATTCATTTAAAATGTGTTGAAATGCCATTTAACTTCTCACTCTGTGCTTGGGAATACAGGGATGTGCACAAGTTTTTGGTGAAAATGAGTTCAGTAGTTTCCGCCTTTTTTCCCCCCAGCTGCTCCAGGGTTCTCCTGAATTGATTGAGCCTAGCTTCTTTACAGCTGATTGCCATTTGCTACTTCACTCCCCAGGGGGAAATATATTGGCCCCCGATGATAGAAAAGGTAAGGAAAACAAAGTCTACAGTCTACTCTATACTTTTTGATTAAGAGATGTGGTGATGATAGTGGTAGCTGACTTAAGGACCTGACTGCTGGCAATTATTAACTGAACTCATTTAAAAAACATGGTCATTTCAGGTATGTTTTGTCACTATGGATCAGGCCTATTTAACAAAACATAAGTCTTGATTTGTGGGGGATATTTTCAAAAGCACAAATGGCATTTTTTTGCCTAATCAAACTAAGAGGCAATGGGAGCTCTGTGCCTATTATTTATGTTAAAAAATCTTCCACTTAGGCTTATCTAGCCTAGTTCATGGCTTGTAAACAAGTAAAACTGTATTTAAACACAGTGCTAAAAGGAGCCATTATTAGATCATGCTTTAAAGTGGTTAGACTAGATTTAATTGCCTGACTGGGTAAGACCTTAAAGAGTTAGAAAGGAAAATGGAAGGAAACCAGACGTGATCCAATACTGTATATACAAAGGCTTGCAAACATATGTGCTTTTCAAACATGGTTATAATCAAATCTGATTTGTGCTGACATTTACCAGTGCTACAAATTATGGACTCCATCCTCAGTTGCAGCCACCAAGCACTGAGTGCAGCTAAACTGGGAACCATGTGAAAGTGCCACCTGTGGTTTCTCAGTACAAGACCCAGTTCCTGCTCTCCATCCTCAGCTGCAATACAGAACAGAGGTGCTGCTTTTAGGTTTTACTGAAAATGATCAAGCCACACTTCATCTACTTTTTGGAACATCAGTAATTTCGTTTCCATTCTCCGGGGGGGAAAGTAATGTTATGGCTGCAATTAAAAGGGGAGAGGCCAAAAGAAAATTTAAAATGGTAAGCCTAGAATATAAGGGTCAGAGAACCTGCAGCACTTCCTTACTGCAGCTGTTGGGTTAAAAACAGGCACATCAATTTACAACATAATACAAAAATAAAAAGTTACACAGTGTCAGGGGTGACATCCAAATAAAAAGCCAGTTCCAAGCAATCACTTTAAATCTGTGCTTTTGTTTTGTTTCTCTGGACAGCCATGCAAATTGATCAGATGTTCAATATCTGTAATTTCTGGCACTCTTAACTTGCAAGAAGTACTTTTGTCCTCAGCGTTTCCTGCTGGCTGTGGGCACTATTTATTTGGCATTATGAGTAAGGCAGAAAAACAGCATGCCTTTTTATGTTGTTCCAAATTAAAAAGAAATAAAAATCAATATTTGTTTTCTGAATTGGACAAGACCATTTTTTACCATGTGATCTCATCACATCCATGTACCATATTTCCTGGTGTTCTATCAAGCCATAAGAAGGTCCTTTGCTAAGGCTATACATAATTGTTGTGATCAATGTAGAAAAAAGATTACCAATTTTTGTTGTTACCAAGCTGCTGTGTTATTGTTCTGGGTCTGCTGTGATTGCTAAGAAACTCTGAGGAAGACCATGTAAGCCTCAGATTCAGTGGTTTCACATTACTTGATATTTGTTTGTAGGCTTTCCTGGCACTTTTGACGTGACGGAAGGAATGACATATGAACAAATGCAGGTCAATATTTTTAAACATTATTTATGAACAATTGTGTTCTGTTATTTTTAACTAAAGTATTCATTTTTACTAAAATGAATGTTTTCTACCTGTAGACAGCGATTGAAGAGGTTCTGGAAGAAAGTGGCTATTATAGTTTCATTTCTAACAGGTGAGCTATAGCATTCAATTTCGACATGAAAAGGTGAATTATAAAGTGCTAGATAAATGAGGCATTTGGTTCTGTTTCCTAACTGGAGTTTTCTCTTTCAGTTTTTAACGAAGCACATGATTTTATGGCACATGGGTATAGTTGGGGAAAACTTATTTAGGACATTTTAGCCAGTCTTTGTTTTGGCCACAGGTGCTGTATTCTTTGCTCAGACAAAAGAATGCTGCATGCCTGGTAGCAATTTTCTCTTACTATTTTTTCCATATAAAAACTAAGTTAAAAGAAAAGGCACATCTATTATAATCATTTTGATGGGACTTTGTTTTTTCATAATACCCCACTGCTCAGAGCTCCAAGACTAAAACAAGCATAATCAGTATAATGATTAGATGCAAAACAAAAAAGAGGAAATGTAGGTGCTAACACACAAGGAGAGAGGCAACTGAAGTAAAGATTTTTGAAAACAGGTAAGTACCTTATCACTGTGATCAGCATCTCTTTCTCAAACAACAGTTAATTCATATAAAGAGGATTATTCATTCAAACATTACACAAAGCATAGTATCTCGAAACATAAACCTGGTATTTCTAGTTCTGTTTACAAGTCCTGTCTTAAATCACCTTCACCAGATATTTAATAATGTAAGTTTCCTTTCAGAAAAAATAGTTCAATTTTGCTTCTCCAGATCTTGCCTAAAAATCTGTTTCACTTATTAGAAGTAAGCAATATTTTCAGTCCTGGGAGCCAAACACTAGATTCCCAAATCCATACTTAGATGCTTTAAATCAAAATAACTTGATTTCCATACCAGCAACTTTATTTTCTGCACACCGGCAGCACCTGCTACTATTTAAATAGTATTTTCAGCTGCTAAGAATGTCTAAAAATCAGGTCATTTTTGCTTAAAGGACTTAGCTGATGATTTACTCCAGACTCTCAGATTTTAAATGTTAGTCTTCTTATTTAGTTTTTTGTACAGGATACTTTTTTCAAAAGTGTCTCATTATTTGCCTTTAAAAAACTTGGATTTCCAAAGACAAAAATTATGCTATTGCCAGCAGCAAAATATTAAACCATTAATCAGCACCCCTCCCCACCCCCCTACTCCCAAATTATGAAGTTTTAAAAATTAAAGATTGGTCTTAGCTTTTCTTTTACGCCTCTAGGCTATATACATGTCATGTTTTCAAGGGGTTTTTTGCAGCTGTGAAGGCTAGA